AGAGCGTCGAAGACACAAGCGATTATAAAAATACGAATTTTTATCCTCATTCTCGAAACGTTATTCTATCGTCCAGAATTTAATCTAACACGTCTGCTCTGTGGAAGTTATACTTTTATTACCGGTTCTATTGAACTTAACGAGATCAATTGAGACGATACAGTTGCCTTGATTTTACGATAGCCAAACACTGCGATGCGGTGATACAAGTGGCGATCCTGTCAACCGTAAATTGTAATCCACCCACGCGTTTAACAGTTCGTCTTTTCGTTTTTCAGCACCTGTACCACCTGCAGACCGGAGAAGGGGCGTTCCGGGAGCGCGGGAGGGGACGAGGCAAGGGTACCACGAGGGTGAGTAAGGTGTCTTTCGGCTTTTAACTCTTATTACAATTCAATTCTCATCGTAAACAACACGTTAATATAATTTATAATTTCCTTCAAATTTTGAAATTTACTAAACACAAATTAGATTGTGCTTTTATAGCGTCGTTCTTGATAAAAATATTTGGCTAGCCGCGCGTGAGATATTTTTAAGAATTGCCATAAAGATTACATATTATTCATCGAGCTGGAAATTTGTCAGTATTAGAGTCGGTTATCTATTCGCGTAATTTAATTACTAAAGACGTGGCTCGCGCTGCATCGTGCGGGCTCTATTCCGCTGACGTAGGGCTAGCTGTCTCTTGGTACCGACAGTACGGAGTTTCAGAACTGATATTAAGCAAGGTGGTATTGATCGACGCACGTTGCGCCTGTCCGCGTTGCACCGCCATGTTTAAAATCCGTTTGCCTTAAGCCGCGTACGAACTTGAGCACGCATACGTTGAAACGCCGCTCATACACACCAAGATACTTTATCCGTATTCGTAAGATATTTAATTTTCATTCGCGGAGATGAAATAGAGCCGAGTTTCTACCTGGAGCCATTTTACGTGGAGACATCGTTATATATTATCAAGTTAAATTCGAAATGAGAATAAACAGTCAAAATTGAGCCATTTGAAATTTCGCGATATTCAAATCAAACATGGATTATTCGCCCTAGATTATCAACTATACTCATTTCCCTCCCGCCTCGAGTAAAGAAAATATTGTCGCTTCGAAAGATCTCGGTCAATAATTTCCTATCGTCATGTTGTTTCCTTCTCGAATCTCCATTATTCGACAAACGTTTTAGTAAGTCGGCGAGAAAATCGGCCCAACGACCCATGGGGCCTTTTCTTATCTAATCTGTGAATGTGGATAAGATACTAACATTCCTGTATTTAACTGCCCTGGTAAAATAAGATAGGGATATGTGCATATTTGCTGACCCCAAATAAACGCGTCTTTTTTCCCTTTTAATACGTATTCCGCGTCTCTTTTCCAATTTTTTTGAAATAAAATAATATATGAAAATAATACATACACATATACTTATGTTATATTACTCTTGTAGTATTATATAATAAATGTAATACAATATTATGTAATACAATAACGTAATAAGAAAGTGAGAAAGGATTTGGCGTATTAAGATCGACGAGCTGCGAAGGTCTTAAGGATAGATCCATAAGACGGTTCTTCGAGAGGGCTCGTTTATTAACGTCCCTGCAACTTGTTGCTGAGCGCGTTGCCATCGGCCCTTCTGACCTCTTTCATGGCATCTTTACCGGCCTCTCCAACGACGCCTTCGCGAAGAGACAAGTCCGATGAATCCTTCGTTCGAATCGATCCTCTTAACGAGCAACTGATTGAAACATCCGTTTTCTTTTACCCACGCGCTCGGACAATTTTATTTTCCCTAACAACATTCCTACGGTAAATCAAAACCCATCTCCAGATCGAAACATCTCGCTTAACTAAGATTCCAAATATTGTAAAATACGTAAAATTATATTTGGCGAATTCGACGCTGTAATTTTACGCTATATTTCTGTAAAATGTCATCATTAACTCGACGATAATTTTCAACTCGCGCTTAATGCTTTCGCTAGGACGAGCGGCGAGCGCGCTTTTTCGTTTTCTCCCGATACATAAACATTTCTCTGACGGCGGCAGGTATTCTCTTACCCCTCCAGAGCAGCCCCGTTCTACCCCCTCCGTCGCGTCAGCCACCTCCAGTTACAATGACGCGCTGGTGAACCCATCCCCTCTTCCTCATCGCCGTCGTCGTTGTCGTCGTCGTCGTCGTCGTCGTCGTCGTCGTCGTGCGGCGGTGGCGACGACACCAACACCGACATCGGTCCTATTGCGCTACCATCGTCTATCTATGGAGAGCCATAACGATTCCGCGACGAGAGTTTTTTTTTTTTTTTTTTTTTCTTTCCTCTTTCACGGCGGTCGCTGAAGCTTAAGCCGATACTTAGAACATGTTTTTCTCTCGTACAATGCTCCGACTTTTTTTTTTCCCTTATACGACAGTACAAGTATTACTACTGCTATGGTTTAATCCGCGTATATTCGCTGATAATGTGACGTTAAATTGTCATTATACTGAGACGTTAAATTGTCATTATTGCTGAGACATAATAGAGATGGATATAATAGTTATATGTATACCATTGTAATCGACAATTTGGACGCTTCGTAAAAATTCTCTCTTGTGGAGAAATTTACTCGTGTATATTAATTTAGAAGAGAGAAAATTCGGCGTTCGATACAATAAAATTTAGAACCGGTATCATTTCGCCGTAGGCAAAGTAAGTCGATAACCGAATCAGAGCCCCCGTCGTTAATTCGATGGCGCGTCGTCTTTCACTTCAGAGAAGGAGAGTTGGTTGGAAACGGCAGACGGAAAGAAAACGAGTAAAACAGCTCGAGAAAAAGACACATAAAGGGAGGGAGTGGAAGGACGAGAAAGCGGGGGAGGAGGGTTGGGAAGGTGGGGGGTG